CCAGTGCTGGGATTAAAGGCATGTGCCACCATGCCCGGCATAATAAAATTTTTGACAAGTGAGAAATGGCTGTTAATCGAATCCATATTTGTTTTTGAGACAGGGTCTGTGTTAATTACTTTTCTACTGCTGTGATAAAGCACCCTGACCAAAGCAGCTCGAGGAAAGGGTTTGTTTTGGCTTATGGTTCCAGAAGAATAGAGTCCATTGTGGTGGGAAGGCATGGCAATGGGCAGGGAAGCATGGTGGCCAGAGCAGGCAGCTGGCTGATCATTTCATCCACACACAGGAAGCAGAGGGAGAACAGGAAGTGGGGTGAGGCTATAAACCCACAAACCTGCCCCTAGTGATATACTTCCTCCAGCAAGGCTCTACCTCCTAAAGGTTCCATAACCTTCCCAAACAGTGCCACCAACTAGGGACCAGGTGTGGAAATCCGTGAGCCTATGGAAGACAATTCTCATTCAAACAAGAACAGGATCTCACTGTATAGCCAAGGCTGGCCTTGACCGTGTGGTCCTCCTACCTCTGCTTTGTATGTACTGGAATGCATGACATGCATCACCACACCTGGCTTAATTAGTTATGTTGATTTCAGAAGTGCCATGATATATTACCTTGTATAAATGATCAATTTTCTATAGTAGAATAAAAATAGTATACCAACCAGTCATGTACATAATCCATGTACAGCCTGAGGCTGTTGTGCATGTCTGTAATCCCTAGCACTTCGGGAACTCAAGTGTCATCTAATCTGGTGTACACTGTGGTGAACAATCCTGCCTCAACAAGGTAGAAGTCGAGAACTGACATCTGAGGTTGTCCTCTGACCTCCACACATGTCTGCCCCCCACCCCACATATACATATTGTGATAACTCTTTCATCAACTTGTTATATTCTAGAGTCACCTGGGAAGAGGGAATTTTAACTGAGGAATATCCTCTATTAGATTGGCCTGTGGGCATGTCTGTGGGACATTTCTTGATTACTAATTGATGTGGGAGGGCCCAGCCCACTGGGAGCAGTAGCAGCTCTGCTGTAGCATCCCGCACAGGTAGGCCTGGACTGTATAAGAAATGCAGCAAAGCATGAGCCTGTGAGCAAACCAGGGAGTGGTCCAGTAAGTGGCATTCCTCCATGGTTTCTGCTTCTGTTCCGAATGCTTGAGCTTCTGCCCTGACTTCCCTCAAAGATGGGTTGTGACTTGGGAGTATATGCAAGATAAACCCTTCCTTCCCCTAAGTTGCTTTTGGTCAGAGTATTTTATCACAGCAACAGAAAGGGAAAATAGAATACATACACATCAAGAAAAATAAATAAATAAATAAATAAACAAACAAACAAGGTTCACTCTAAGGGTCACAGACACAGAGCAAACAAACATAGGCTTTAAGTAACCATATTCTTGCATAATATAGGAGGCTCATACTCTGTTAATGTCAGTATAAGATGGTTTCTGTGCTAATAAGAACCTGAGTTACCCCAGAGCTCCATACAGTATTGACTAGAGGCAGTTACTCAAGATAGACTTGAGTCTAGTAATATTGTTATCTGCTTGGTCTCATGTGAATGCTTGTACAAAAGTTGTCAGGGAGGGATGACTCAGTGGTTAAATTGCACATACTGCCCTAGTAGAGGACCCAAGTTTGGTTCTCAACACCTACATCAGGCAGCTCATAGCTGCCTGTAACTCCAGCTCCAGGAGATCCGATGCCCTCTTTTGGCCTCTGTGGACACTGCATTCATGTGCACATATCCACATACAGACACACATATATATGCATAATTAAAAATAATTTATTTTCTTGAAACAGGGTCGCACTAGATAACCTTCGGCTGTTCAAGGCCCTTGTTTGTATTACTATAGCTTTGGATTATATTTTGGATACAGGTAGTGTGAGGCCTCCAACTTTGTTATTTTTGTTCAACAAGGCTTTGGCTATTCAAGGGCTTTAGCTCCACAGAAACTTTTGTATTGGTTACTCTGTTTCTGTGAGATTGTCATTGGTATTTGGATAGGGATTACATTTATCAATATGTAAAAGTAGTCAGTCAGCCCACACTTTTAGTCCCAACACTCGGGAGGCAGAGGCAGGTGGATCTCTGTGAGTTCAAGGCCAGCCTGGTCTACATAGTGAGTTTTAGGCCAGCTGGGGCTACAGGGAAACCTTATTTCAAAAAGACCCCCCCCCAAAAAAAGTGGTCAGTCAGTCATAGAGCAGGAGAGTATTTACCATATAAGCATAAGGACCTGAGTTCATATCTCAAGGACTTACATAAAAAGCTGGACAAAAGAGTATGTGCTTGTAATCTCAGTGCTGGGGAGTTCACTGGCCAGCTAGCCTAGAGGAATCATTATATTCCAGTTGAGTGAAAGACCCTGTCTCAAGAAATAAAGTGGAGATTGAAGAAGACACTTGACATCAATCTCTGGCCTCCCAGATATGTTCACACATGTGCCCATGCACCTGCACATGTATGAACAGGTACATATGCATAACACACACACACACACACACACACACACACACACACATACATGTATGTCTGCTGCGAGCCTGACCCACTTGTGCTGGGCTGGGTGGTTCTACTGTGCAGCTGGCAGTGAGACCCACACTGAGGACTTCAGCCCTGGCTGTGGACAGAGCCTGTGTGCAGGGTTCACCTCTGGTCACGCACTCTCATGTAGCTGCTCACTTGTCCTGCAATCTGGAATACCTGGCAGTAGATACTTTAAATACCTGTAAATGAATGAATTGTCCTGTAATTTGGGTACTATTTGCCCTCTAAAAGGCAAATGTGCTTTAAAAACACAGTTTCTAATTCAGATAGGTAAGTTTTAGTTAGTTCTTTGTTTAGCTTTCTTTTCTTTTTGCTTGCGTTTTCTTAGAGCTGGGGATTGAACCCAGAGCCTCATGTATGCCAGGGAGGCACTCCATCATTGAGCTACATCCTCAGCCCTGTTTAGTTTTCCTTAGTAGCTAATGCCTTCAGGCCATTTTAAGATCAGCATATAAAAAGAACACAGTGGAAGTTCTCCTTCCTTTTGTTCCCCATCTGACCAATGTGTCAGCTCCTTACCACAAGCAAATACCAACATTTCTTTTATTAACTTATTAATGTTGATGTATGTGTGTGTATGAGTGTATATGCTTACAGCATGCGTGTGGTGGTCAGAGGACAACTTTGTTGAGTCATTTCTCTTCTTCCACCTTCAGATGGGTTTTGGGGATCAAACTCAGGTCTCCAGGCTACTGAGCCATCTTGCTGGCCTCAAAACACATATTCTTACTTTAGCCTATTATTGTTCAATAAATGGTTTTCTATGATAATGTCCTTCTTATGGCATTTTACCCTTGAAATATATATTTTGAAGAACTTATCAGAATGCTTCATTTTTTCTTTCAGTGGAGAAATGTCTCATTGTGTAGATTATAATGTCTTTAACAAGTACCTCAATGAAGGTCATTTGCACTTTGCCAAACATTTGCTACTATGCACAGTGCTGCACTTGGTACCCTTGTATGCATGCAAGATGGATATTTGTGATAAGTTCTTGAAGCATAATGGTTGTACATACACACCACACAATAATGTCTGTGTGCATGTTTGTATACACACATGCCCCAGCATGTGTGTGGAAGTCTGAGAACAGCTTTCAGAAATCATTTTTCTCTTTCCACTGTGGTTTCCGGGAATCGAACTCCGGTCATCAAGCTTGCACTTCTCCTTACTGAACCATCTTGCCAGTCTTGTATATTCTGACGTATGCCACTAAATTGTCTCTGTAGGAGTTGTACCATCAGATGTTATTAAAATTGATACTGGATTTGTAATATTTTTTTAAAAGAATGTTTACTCTGTGTTTTATTTTTTCTGCTGAGTTAGAATATTTAGTTGGTACGTTATCTGAATTTTGATAAAAGTAATAAGATTGTTCTAGGTTACAGTTTTTACTAGTGGCCAAGAACGTCAAGGGCTTCTCACATTCAAACATTAAACAAACACTAGCAATGTATTCTGTTTTGAGTATATATAGATACTGTTGTATTAAATAACTGTTTTTTTCTTGCTCTCTCTCTCTGTATGTGTATGTGTGTGTGTGTGGTGTAATTGTTAGTGTGGGTGTGTGCATATTTAGGTGGGTACAAAAGTGTGTGGAGGCCTGAAGTCAATGAAGGAGACCTTCCTCTATTACTCAATATTAATTTTTGGAGACAGTCTCTCTGAACTTAATCTCATTGATTTAGCTAGTTGACTGGCCAACAGCCTCCAGGGATGCTCCTGTTTCTGTTCCTCCCCCAGTACAGGGGTTATAGAAGTGTACTGCCACCCCCTGGCCTTTTACATGGATTCTGGAGATCTGAACTCAGGTCCTTGTGTTTGCATGGCAGGCATCTCACTGACTGAGCCATCTCCCCATTCCAAGTAATAGTTCTTTTAATAGTGTCACTGAATTCTCAGTTGCTAACAGCTCAGTCTCTTAGTGATGGTTTTTTTTATTTCAGATGGCCCCTGGATTATGATGCCACATTATCTTCATTTGATCTAATATCAGTTCTTACAAATTAGATTAGTCTTTTTTTTTTTTTTCGGTCTTTTTGAGACAGGGTCTCCTTGTAGCCCCAGCTGTCCTGGAACTCACTATGTAGACCAGGCTGGCCTTGAACTCATAAAGATCCGCCTGCCTCTGCCTCCCAAGTGCTGGGAAATTAGATTAGTCTGCAGCTGGGATTGTAGCTTGGTTGGTAGGTGCCTGCCTAGCATGCACAAAGCCCTGGGTTCCATCCTCGTAACATATAAACTAGGCATGGTGTCACATACCTGTAATACGAGTGCTCAGGGGGTGGACGCAGGAAAATCAGAAGTTCAAGATCATTATTGACTATATTTGGAGTTTGAGGCCAGCCTGGGCTAGATAAGACCCTGTCTCAAAAAAAAAAAATAGGTTGTGTATCCTAGTTGACTATTTCATAATAAAAATCATCTCTCTTATAGATGTTCTTTTGAGGACCAACCTACCACCTCCACTCAGAAATTACAAATACGGTAACCAGTTTTCTTATTATTTTAAAAGATATATTCATGTAATTTTGCATTTTTTATTAGCATTGCTTTAACAAAAATAACATGATTACACTGAAAAACTTTGTATAGATTGGAGAATTTGAAAAAGGAGTGAATGCCAAATTAGAGCAACATAATAAATTTTGCAGTATTGTTGAAGCTTTGTACAGTTTTGTCAATGAATAATACTAAAAAACTTATAGTAGACATAGAATTACAAATTTATATTCCAAAATACAATTAGATATTTTTAGTGTGAGAATTATGTCAGTTTAGTTATTACAGTACCTTTTTTAAACTTCCTATACTGTGATTTTATGTCTAGACATTGAATTAGGTGTTTTACATTTTCTATAGGGCACAGGTGAAGACACACTGGGATTGTAGAAAAGTAATAGAAAAATAAAGGAAAACCTCTTGGTGCCTGGGAATGGGAAAGGTCCAACATGAAGGTCTGGGTGCCCAGGACCACATGTAGAATCAAGACCACAGCTGGGCCTCAGAGGAGATGGGAATTCCATTCTAGAGAATCAGTCCTCCTAAGACTAGAGTCTACAAATGCCAGAGACTTTCCTTGTCCCCATCATAAGCCCAACACAGAAATAAAGTCACTGCTATACACAACCTGGGACCTCCATCCTCTAATCTGCTCTACCATCAATGTGCCACCAGAGAACTGTGGAACTGTGGCTTGCTGTAGGGGGCCACAGCTCTAGGTTCATGAGAGGGGATGACATCTGTAGGTTCTTGGAGGGGACCCCAGCTCCAGCTCCTGGGACACAACCACAGCTCCAGCTCACAGGAGGGGAACACAGCTCCAGGCTCATGAGAGGAATCACAATTTCAATTACACCGCTTCCAACTATTTTCTTTTCTCCATTTCTCTGTCCACATGACTATTCTTGTATTTAAGAAAGAGCATTTTGGCTTCCATGCAGCAAACATAGGCAACAGTAACTTGCTGGCTTGAACCTCTCGCTAGAGGGACATCAATATTGGAGAAAACCATTGTTTGCTTTTGCTCAAGGAGATAAATGGATTGATTGTCCTCTTCTTCACGGCCAAGATACAGTTGGGTTTGGTTTTTTTTTTTCAGTGTCTACTGTTTTCACATCTTCCTCCATGGCCAGGGGAGGCATTGATGAGACATCTTACCGGAGTCATGTTTTTGCTGTGAGCTGCCATGCTGCCATCTTGGCTCTTCAGCCATTTTCTTTCTTACTTGCCAAGTCTTTTCTTATCTGTGCCATGCAGTTGCCTTAGTCCTCCTTGGAACTGGTCACCTGGGTGATGATGGCCAGCCAACCATTGGTGTGCTTCAGTGGCCTCCCATAGGCCTGGCCCCCTCCAGGATGTGCCTGCTGCTCAGCCCCATGTTCAAGGAAAGACAGCTAGGGCCGGTACCACAGTTCCCACCGTCCAGTACCACAGGGTGGACACGCACATTTGTTTTTGTTAATATGAATTCAAATTTTATGTCCAAACATTAATTTACCATATGTTAATAAAAGTCAATTTGGAGGGGCAGGAGGCATTGCTCAGTGGTAGAACATGTGCTTAGCATGGGCAAGACATTGGTTTGATTCCAGCACTAAAAGAATATCAACTTGGAAGTTTATTAAGGAATATAGGAGTTGTAGAATGCTGGGAAAGTTTACTGTAATTGTGTAGGGAAGCAGTATGTTAGTGAGGAAAAGCATGCTGGAGCCAGTAGAGACTGAAAGAGCCTAAGTTCAGACTCATCTTCAGCTACATAGTGAGTCTGAGGCTAGCCTGGGATATATGAAACCCTGCCTCACAGATAAATGAATAAACTCTAATACAGTACAATAATGGGGGCCAGGGAGATGGCTCAGTGTATAAAGGTGCCTCCACCAAGCCTGAAGACCTGAATTCAATCCCTGGAACCCACATGGTAGAAGAAGAGACCTGACTTTTGCAAATTGATCTCTGACCCACACAACTGGGCTCTGGTATGCATGCCCACACACATATACACATAAAAATAAAATGTAATAAAAAAACAAGTAAAAAAAAAATACAATAAAGCCAGTGGCTAGGTGTCATTTGTTAGTTCCTGACACTCAGTAGAGTAACACTCAGCTAATAGGAATTTGAGACCTGGCTTGAAAGTTATGATCCACCTAATAAATATTTCTGCTAATTGGTGAAGACGTTTGACAGTATAAAATTTTTATTACTTTAAATCATTTTTCAGAGTGGCTTTTCATTCTGTTCCCATTCAATAGGGCAAATGATGACCTACAATCTTTCAAAATCACAATCTTGTCTGTGTGCCTGCATTTTAATATTCAGAGTCTAATTGTGAGGTTGCAGGGGTAGTCAAGCATAAGGCAGAGGCACTGAGTGGAAAGTACTTTGATTTATGAGACCTAAAGCATTTACATACTCAATATTGAAGCAGAGAAAGGAATAAAAAAGCATGATGAAGGTAAATATGAAACTTCTCACTTGTGGCTTTCACTGTGTTTGAAATACAATGCCTTGAATAGACTCTTAAGCTTGAATCCACTTACAAATTACAATAGTTGCATATGGCCTCCCATTTTGCATGGTGTGTGTATGTGTGTGTGGAAATCTGTTTAATGTCAGTTCTTTTAAAAAACAGATCTTAAGGTGCTGGAGAGATGGCTCAGTGGTTAAGAGCACTGGCTGCTCTTGAAGAAGATTGGGGTTCAAATCCCAGCACCCATGTGGTAGCTAACAGCTGTTCATAAACTCTAGTTCCAGGGGATCCAACACTCTCTTCTGTCCTCTGCAGGCATTACACAACACGGGTGCACCTACCTACCTACATGCAGGCAGTATACTCATAGACATAAAATAAAAATAAAATATTTAAAAGCAAACGAAAACAAATCTTAAAGTAATGAAAGCAGGGCTGGGGACATGGCTCATTCATTGAAGTGCTTGTTGTGCAAATATGAGGGCCTGACTGAGTTCAGTCCCCAAAACACACAAAAAGGCTGGATTCATGGGGCCTGGAGAGATGGCTCAGTGGTTAAGAATGCTTGCTGTTCTTCCAGAGGACCTGAGTTCAATTCCTAGCACCCACATCAGGCAGCTCATGACCTGGAACTCCAATTCCAGGGGGGCTGGTGCCCTTTTCTGTCCTTTGCAAGCATACACACACATATAGCTTGCACTCACACACACACATACATATAAATAAAAATGATAAAAATAGTTTTTAAAAGGTAGACACAGTGGCACATGCTTATAATCCCAGCATTGGGGAGGTGGAGACAGGAGGACCCTTGTGGCTCTATTTCCGGCCAGCCTAGTCTAATCAGCAAGCTCCAAGCCAGTGAGAGACCATGTCTCAAAAAAGTGAGGTGGACAGCACCCAAGGAAGGACAGCTGAGGCTGACCTCTGGCCTCTACATACATGTGAGATAGAATACTCTAAGCATCAGAGTCTGGGTTGCTGAGCATCATTCAAAGGTAGAAAATGTAGCTTTAAATTACTCCATGTTGGAGCCAGGTGTGGTGGTGCATGTCTTTAATCCCAGCACTTGGGAGACAGAGGCAAGTGGATCTCTGTGAGTTCGAGACTAGCCTGGTCTGCATAGTGAGTACCAGGCCAAGTAGGGCTACAGGGAGACCCTGTCTCAAAATGACAAAAAAAAACAACAAAAAAAACAAAATGATTACTCCATGTCATTAACCCCTTTGCTTCAGATGAACTGGCAGAGGAAATTACAGAAGCCCTGGATCTTGATAGACTCCAAGACGCTCTCTGTCTGGATCTGACTGTGTTTTTTTGGTGGGGGACTTTTTGAGACAGGGTCTCCCTGTAGCTCCAGCTGGCCTGAAACTTACTATGTAGACCAGGCTGGCCTTGAACTCACAGAGACCCACCTGCCTCTGCCTCCTGAGTGCTGGGATTAAAGGTGTGCTCTACCACGCTCAGCTCTGGATCTGGCTATGTAACAACCTTCTGCTTTGTCTTGCATAGGAAAGGCGAGGTGTCATTTTTTCACCTGTTCTGGTCAGATAGCATGGCTGCATGGCCTGTGGGAATAGAATATGGAATTGTGTGTTGAGGAGCCGGAAGGGTGCCAGCCATTATCTCTCTGCCTGTGGGTGAAGGGTCTGCTCTTGCAACCACCAGTGTTTGAGAACCTCTTCCCATTTAATTGGCATTTACATCTGTTGAGTCAGCCATTCATCCCTGTGGCTCATCCACCATGCATTTGAACACAGTAATCCTGACTCCTGTACGGTGTGCAGATGGTAAGCCCTGTTTGTTTCATGGGACCATGTGAAATTTAACAAGGCACGAACCAGCATGTTAAATGTTCCACAAATATGATACTATTTACTTATTAAGATTTATTTATTATTTATTTATATACATGTATGTATGCATGACCACAGAGGCAAGAAGAGGATGTCAGATCCTCTGGAGCTGGAGTTAAAGGCAGTTGTGAGCGCTCTGATGTGGGTGCTGGGGACCAAACTCCAGTTGGTTATTCGGAAGAGCAGTAAGTACTCTTAACCACTGAACCATCTCTCCAGTCCTATAGTAGTGTTTTTATGAAGTTGCTGTCATCAAGAAATTTTTATTGAGGAAAGATATTTTTGTTAATAAAGTGTTTTTGAAAAGAAGTTAAAGTAAGCATACCTATAACCCCAAAACTCAGTGGAGTAGAAGCAGGAAGAACAGGCGTTCAAGTCTAGCCTTGGCTACAATAGCAAGTTCATCAAAAAAAAAATGCCAGTTTGACATTTTTCTTTTTTTTTCCTTTGGTTTTGCCAATTTCTGTTGAAGAGAAAAACCTGGTGAAAGTTTCGGTTCAAACTTAAAAAGAATTGTGTTAGGAGTGTTTTCCCTGCGTGAATGTTAAGTGCACCAACTGTGTGCAGTGCCTGCAGAGGCCAGAAAAGGGTGTTGGATCCCCTAGAGATAGAGTTACAGGTGATTATGCACTGACTGATGTGGATGCTGGGAACCGAACTCGGGTCCTCTGGAAGAGCAACAAGTGCTTGTAACCACTGAGCCATCTCTGCAGCTCCTCAGAGTACCATTTTTTTAACTGGATGATAGATACCTATTATGAAAACATAGCTTTACTGAGGTCGAGGTCTGTTTTCAATAGACCCTTTCCTTCCATGTGAATTTCTGATTATAGCATGAGCAATAGAAGTGAATGTTACTTAGGAGAACTTAACCAGATACAGTCATATCTATTGTCATAATACAGCAATTAAATGTCTAAATAAAATAGAGAACCAGGAACTTTTGGAAATCAAATTTGTTGAATGGCTTTACCTATGTTATAATTAAGGACTGGCTATCTCAGAACTTACCTGAGTGTGAGGAAAGGCCTGTTGTAGAGGCAGTGGTAGAGGCAGTGTGGCTTGGCTTCAGCACAGAGTAAGGAGTGGTGTTGGGCTGGAATGAGGCACATGAGGAGCGTGAGCCTAAGCAGCATTGGTAAGCCAAGAAACAGGTATTGGGGCTGGGGAAACAGCTCAGTGGGTGAAGTGCTTGCTGAGCAGGCCTGATCTCTAGCGTGAACATAAAAAGTCAGGTGCAGTGGCACACCTGTAATCCCAGAGTCAGGGCAGAGTTGGGAGGCTGGAGCTCACTGGCCAACAGGTCTAGCCAAATCTGTTAGCTCCAGATTCAGTGAGGCTCTGTCTCAAAAAACTAGGCAGAAAGCGATAGGGGAAGACACTTGCCATCAACCTCTGGCCTCCACATGCATACACATCCATGCAGCTCTGTACACACACACACACACACACACACACACACACACACACACACACAAAAGGTAGCAGCAGATATTTGTGTCCTTTGGGCATTAACAGCCTGTTCATGTGACCACTGAGCCTAGACAGTGTTTGAATTCTGAGAGTGACAACATTTTTTCAGTATGATCATTGGACCTGCTATGGTTCTTAATGCCCTGAGAGCTTTGGCACTTCTTATTTCTGTTTTCTGGCAGGGTCTCACTATATAGCCCTGTCTGAAACTTACTATGTAGACCAGGCTGGCCTCAAACTTACAAAGATCTACTTGACTATGTGCACCACTATGCCTGGGTGTTCACTTGTATCTTAAGACTATCTATCTATCTATCTATCTATCTATCTATCTATCTATCATCTCTATATAATTACATATTATATATGTAATTATATATGTAATTTGTCTTAATTTAAGATTATATATGTGTGTGTACTTTTTTACATTTGCTCTTAGCCTTTAGTGGCTCTAAAAGACAAAACGGAGCAATGTATTTGCTCTTCTTTTACTGTAAGGGGAAATGTGCTGAACGGACTTCAGGTTCCAACACACAAACTGTTGTCACATGTTAAAGGCCAAAACTTTCTTTAAACACACACACAGTCTAATACAAATTCATACACTTACTTAAAACATTATAAAATATTTTGTGATTTATTTATTGTAATTCAACAGTGTGACTCCCGACCATGAACTTTGTAGATGACAATTTCATATCTTGCAAAGTCAAAAGTTTGGGAATGTATGAATTAAAAATACCTTTGTGTATCTCTCTCCCTCCTTCCACCCTTCTCTCCTTCTAGTTCTCTCTTGGTTCCTCTCTTCCTCTCCCCTTCTCTCCCTATCTTCTGTCTGTGCTCCTGAATGTATGTTGTCCTGGCTTGGGATTGCACCCAGGACCTCCATATGCCGGGCCCTCTACCCTCGAGCCCCCCCTCTGCTCTCGTATACTTTGAATAATTTGTGAAAGTCAATTTTATTTTACACTATAACAGATTTTAAGTAGATATATTCATAAAGCAAAGATTTAAAAATTTCAATTTCTTCATTCAACTAATAATTACAAAAGAAGTTTTAGAATACTCTGTAAAGAAACAACTTGTTTTGTTTTCTTTCAGATAAACTAAAGATTATTCATCAAGCTCACAAAGCAAAGGTATGTCCGCAGGTGCAGTATCTAGTACACATCTGTCAGCAGTGTTGGTTGGATTGGGAGGTAGGCAAATGAACTTGTATGTTTAAAATCTTTCCTATTATCCAAATGATTTTCTTTTAAAAAATTTTGTAGGATTGCTTTCTATAGCCCTCCTTTCCCATTAAAGAAAACATAAAATAAAAGCAGGGCTGGGTGGTGGCTTAGTTAATAAAGTACTTGCCTCACAGGCATGAAGACTTGAGTTCAGATACCCAGCATCCTTGTAAAAAGCTGGTGTGCTGATCTGCCATCTGTGATCCCAGCACTGGGGAAATAGAGGCAGTAGAATCCCTGGGGCTCACTGGCCAGCCATCCTAGCTTAGTCATGAGGTCCTGATTAACTGAGAAACTCTGTCTCAGAAAATAAGGTAGAGTGCATCCAGTTTGAAAACTGGTATCCTCTTGGCTTCTAGGTTGGTGCCAATCACCAGCCTCCCACCGAGGTTATTGGTGGAGACCTGGCCAAGGTACAGTGAGCTGTGTGCATGCTGAGCAGCACCACAGCAGCTGCAGTTAGTTTGACCTGATGGATGCCAAGCACATCTTTGTTCCCTGGTACATGTGTAAGGGAGTGGTGGTAGGAAACTTGTTGGAGAGGCTAGAGTGGGCATGGTGGCCCTAGAGGATGATGGATTCTGGTGAAGGAACAGGTGAGGAAAAGGAGAGAAATAATTGTTTTCCTCTTAGCCTGTAGCAGGCCATACTGCCTGAGCTTTGACTTCATGGTTAGCTGATGGGCCTCAGCATTTTCTGATGAGGTCATCTTTGCTTGGTGATTATACCTGTCCTTTCCTTGTGGACGTAAGGCTTCTCTATGATGTTGCAGAGTACAAACTTCAAGAAAAAAAGTGTAGAGTGATTGAAGAAAACACCTAATGTCCACCTCTGGCTTCTATGTGTATGTGCACACATAGACAAACACTAACCCATGTATACACCCCCCCCACACACATATATGAAAGCTAAGTTATAAGGTCTGCAACATGACTCAGTGGGTAAAGGTGCTTACTGCCAAGCCAGACAACCTATTTGATCCCTGGGACCCACATGGTAGAAGGAGAGAACTGATTCCCAAGAGTTGTCCACTGACTCCCAAGAGTTGTCCTCTGACTCCACATGTGCATCATAGCATACATACAATTAATAAAGTGAAACAAAATAATTCTAAAAGCTAAGTCATATATACCTGTTAATAGTAGATTCTTTAAAAAAAAAAAGGTTAAATAACATACATGTTTTCAAAAACACCTACCACATAATTTATACAAAATAAGTATAGAGCATGGTAAAAATTCGGGTTGTATAAAGAATCCATTTATCACCTGGCAGTCTAGACCCCTTCACTTTCCTAATTCTGCCCTGGCCCTGGTCGGGGCACCTTCCTCAGAGGTTGCAGCTCACCATTCCAAGGTTGCCCCACCATACCTGAGAGCTGTTTGTTTATGTGTGATGTTTTCATGTAAGATTTTGATGAGGTTGAAAAGCTGGACTTCAATGGACCAGGGTGGTCTTTTTTCTCTGAGTGTCAGTGGTCTTGCATGTGGAAGCCAGAGATTGATGTTGGGTGTTTTCCTCTATTGCTTTCCACCTTCCTTTTTAAAAATATTTCATTTATTTGGTGTGTGTGTGTGTGTGTGTGTGTGTGTGTGTGTGTGTGTGTGTGTGTGTACATGTGTGCAGGTGCCTGTGATGGCCAGAAGTAGATATCATATCCCTTGGAGCTGAAGTTACAGGCATTTCTGAGCCACTCGACATGGATACTGGGATCCAAACTGCATTCCTATGGTAGAGCAGCAAGCTCTCTTAGCCACTGAGCCATCTCTCCAGCCCTACCCATTGTACTTTTTGAGACAGGATCTCTCACTGAATCTGGAAGTTGCTGTTTGGTTAAGCTGTCTGGCCAGTGAGCTCAAGAGATCCTCCTGTCTCCACATCTCCAGCACTGGGATTATAGATGCATGCCACCAAGTCCAGCTTTTATGTAGGTTCTGGGGTTCTGAACTCAGATCCTCATTCATGCACAACAAGCACTTTACTGACTGACCCCCCCACCCTACCCACACACCTCATGTAACAACTCCCGTGTCTTTGGGAAGTCCTAACCAAATGGGAAACCCATTGAAGTACTAAGGAAATGGGGATCCTTTCTTTTCAGACAAACGAACTTGTGTTGAGTTTGGAGGACGATGACAGACTTCTGCTGAAGGAAGACAGCACACTGAGGGCCGCAGGAATTGGTGAGAAGGAGCTGGGGTCTCGGTGGGTGCACTGGGATTCCCAGCCTGTGAGCAAGGGGCCTTGGCTGATAGTATCTGGAAACGTCTGCAACATAAACATCTCTGTGCTGAGAATGCCGTGTGTTTTGGTCATTTGACTTGAGGCACTGGCATCTGTTCTTCAAATGTGCAGAATGCAAATAGTTCTTTTTAGAAGGTTTGCTCAGAATTCTGGTGAGGGTCATTTAAAATGATTGACAGACTATTAGTACCATGACTGGCTACTGTCATCAGTGCCATTTGAGAGAAATGGACCTAGTGGAACTAATGTTGAATAATGAAATGAGATGTTGTTTGTACAACATGTGGTGTGACCTCTGAGAGTCACCCAAGTCACTCAAGGCTAGCCAAGGTATAGAATTTAAACTAGGAACCTGGCTGGAGTATGCAGTTGGAAAATTGCCTGATTTAACCTTTCAGCTTAGCAGGGGCATACAGTTCTGTGTGGCCTCTCTCATAGCCATTAGGTGTCACTGTTAGTCTACTTATGGATGTTAGTCACCTAAGGATGGTGTGAATATTAGCAGGGAATTCAGAGCAGTTGGAGACATGTACCTAGGACACACCTCTGTGGTCAGGGAGCATGCTAAGCCATCAAAAGGCACCTTTCCTTCATAAGTCCCCATGAATACTGGATAAGAACACTTGAAGTAAGGACTAGGCTAGGAAGCCATAAATTTTTTTGACAGGAGTTCTGTTGAGTGACTTTAACCACATGTCAGGAATTCACTGTTGAACAATTCTCATGATTTATGTGAATTCCTGACAGGAATCTTTCCACTGAAATAAGATTAAAAATAACAGGTTAAGGGGCTGGGGAGATGCTCAGTGGGTTGGAGCACTTACTGCACGAGGACCTGAGGTTTGATTCCCAGCACTGGTGCAAAAAAGTTTGGTGTGGTCCTATATTATATGCACCTGTAACCACAGCAATGTTGGGGGCAGAGACAGGAGGATCTCTGGGGCTTGCTAGCTGTCAGCCTAGCTGCACATTCAGTGAGAAACATCTCAAGGGACTAAGATGGCAAACAAGACACCCAGTGCCCTTTTCTGGCCTCTGTACCTGCTAGAATTAGTGTCTATTCATATTGTGAATACAGTAGATTTATTGTTACTTGAAAAAAATTTAATTTCCTGGGTCTTTGTAGCAGGTGTAAAACAGGAATTATATTCTATGATGCTTATGTTTGTTTTCTGTAATATCATCCAAGATCTAGTTTCTTAAAAGTAAAATCAAATTTGAGACTACTTAGTGATTTCTTGCAGGGCATGGTGGTACATGCCTGTAATCCTAGCACCAGAGAGGCTGAGGCAGGAGGACTGAGTTTCAGGTCAGCCTGGGTTACACAGTGAGTTCAAGACCTGTATGGAGTATATGGTAAGACCCTGTCTGTAAATAAATGCATACACGCATACATACATAGTTAACGATTTCTTTGGGCTAAGTGATTTCATGGTTCCACTACTTGGCAAAAATTCATTAATCAAATAGTAGTTGAACATTTATTTTGTGAGTGAGAAGTTTGTTAAGTTGACAGTTGCTGCAGCAAATGCTCTTTCTTATTATAGAAGGTCACACTTGTCTAATTGAGACTTAAAACACCTAGAGGCAGCTTGACTTGCTTTAAAAGTATAAGGCATGAGCTGGGTGTGGTGGCACATACCTTTAATCCCAGCACTCAGGAGACAGAGCCAAGTGGATCTCTGTGAGATCAGGGCCAGCCTTGTCTACATTTCGAGTTCCAGGCCAGTTGGGGCAACAGGGAGACCCTGTCTCAAAAAAAGAGTACAAGCCAAATTGAATGTTACAGAATAGTATTGATGTGGGAATGAACAGATAGCTCAATGTAAAATCCATAGCAAAATGAAAAAAATTAGTACTTTACAAGAAAGTTAGCATCTCAAATAAATGAGGAAGACGTGAACTAGCCAGACAATTGCGAGAGTGTTCTGGAAAATAAATTTAAAATCCTTAACTCAGTCTTTATTCCAAAATAAATTCCAAATGGATTAAATGTTATAATGTAGGAGCTGGAGAGATGGCTCAGTGACAGCACTGACTGTTTTTATTTTTTGGTTTATTTATTTTTATTTTATGTGTATGGGTGTTTTGCCTGCATGTATGAAAGTGCACCTGTGTGTACAGTGCCCGAAGAGGACAGAAGAGGGTATCATATCCCCTGGAACTGTAATTAAGGATGATTGTTAGCTGCCATGTGGGTGCTGAGAACCAAACCTGGGTTCTCTGCAAGAGCAGCCAATGCTCTTAACTGCTGAACCACCTCTCTAGCCCTATTAAAAAAACAAACAAACAAACAAAAAAACCCCATTCTTTTGAAAAGAAAATGTAGCTTGATGATTTTCAAAGCTTTTAAAGCATGGCCTCGAAGGAGGGGCCATAGAGGGGAAGAGGTGATAGATATAACCCTAAAAACTGTAAACAGACCTAAAGAAGAAAGAACAAACTAAGAAAAAGTATGTACAGAATAAATGACAGATAGAAGTTGGTAGCCTGGCTTTATCAAGAACTCTTGGGGGCTGGGGAGATGGCTTAGGTAAAGTGCTTACTGGATAAACATAAAGACTTGTTCTGTGCTCTCAGTGTTGGGGAGGCAGAGACTGGAGGATTCTTGGGGCTCACTGAGCAGCTAGTCTGGCCAGTTTGTGAACTCTAGGTTCAGTGAGATCCTGTCTCAAAAAATAACATGGAGGGAGCTGGAGAGATGGCTCAGCAGTTAAGAGCACTGACTGCTCTTGCAGAGGACGTGGGTTCGATTCCCACTACCCACATGGCGGCTACGAACCGTCCTTAACGCTAGTTCCAGGGGAATTGGAATCTCTCGCACGACGACACGGGTGCACTCACATACATGCAGGCGATACACTCATATACACATAAAAATAAAAATAATAATAAAATAACATGGAGATGGGGCTGGAGAGATGGCTCAGTTAAGAGCACTGGCTGCTTTTACAGAGAACTTGGGTTGAGTTCTTAGCACCCAACATGGCGGCTAACAACCAACTGTAACTCCAGTTCAGGGGATCTGATGCCCTCTTCTGGCTTCTGTGGGTACTACATGACATGTTCATACACATTAAAAAATAAATAAATAAATGTAGTAATTGTAAATAAGTTTTAAGATAATAATAAAAGCTGAGCATGGTGGTACAGCCTTTAGTCCCAGCCCTTAGGAGCAGAGGCAGGTGGGTCTTTGTGAGATGGAAGCTGGCCTGAGCTATATAGCTAGTTCCAGGCTAGCTGGGATACAGGGGGACCCTGTTTCAAAAAAAAAAATTTTTTTAACAATAAAATGTACGTATGTACATTTCTAGGTGGATGTGGAAGAAAAATCACAGCCAGAGAGATGGCTTCCCAGGGTGTTGGCATTACCATTGATCTTTCCTTCTCTGTATTCTCTAATTCTTCTCATGATTTAAATCCTTTTCTATGGTTTACATGTGATCTTTATAACTAAGACCGATTTTTTTAGAACTTTGTATGTGTGCATGCAAGTGCATGTGCACCGATTGTGTGGAATCTAGAGGTCAGAGGTTGACAATGGGTATCTTCCTCAGTCACTCTCCACCTTATTTTTAAGACAGGTCTCTCACTGAACCTGGAGCTCAGGAAGTAGCTAGTCTGGCTGGCCAGTGGCACCACCACACTCGGCTTTTGTTTGTTTGCTTGCTTTGTTTGTTTTCTAATGTGGGTCCTGGAGATTGAACTCAGGTCCTCATGCTTGCAAGGCACCCTGAGCCATTTCCCCAGCCTGAGAATCCCTCTTTAGGCATTCTTGTTTTAAGGCTTTAGTCAAACTTTGATCCAAATCAGATCCTTTCTGTGGGCTCTCCTCTGCATTTGGGGTGACCCAGTGATCCCCAAAATGCCCTTTAATCTTGGCAAGATGAAAATGTGGGTCCCCGCCAGAAGCAATTTCCTTTGCTTCCTAGAGCTGTGTTCAGTCCTCTGGGAAGAAGCATAGGTTATAGTTGGGGGAGGACATGAGGGTCCCTGGAGAACAACAGGAAATTGTCAGTGGGAGTCAAGTTGTCAAGCATGATTTTTCTAGGGAATTTTCTCTCTTGCCTGCGTCTGGTTAGGTTTCGAAAAGGTTTAAGAGACAAACTCAAAGTCATCACTGGCTCCCTTTTACTCCTTGATCTCGCTGAAGAGCTGTCAGTCTGCTATCACAGCTTGTTGCCATGGGAATCGTGCCAGTGTGATGAATGTATCATCTTGGCTTTTCTGCAGGAGTCAGGAAAGAAAGGCTGTGAGGGGAATGAGGAGGAGAGCAAGTCTCAGTTCTTCAGAAGCATTTCCTTTTTACTTCAGACCCCATCATACATTCCACACCTCACGTCTGCACCTGTTTGTACTTGTGAACTTGAGTAAATGAAATGATTTGTTCTGAACTGGTAATGTGTTTCAGTGTGTAACACCACTTGCTCTAAAATGTGAGGACCTGAGTTTGGATGCTGGCACCCACCTAAAAAGCATTTGCTATAACCACAGCATTGTGAGGGCCAAGCACAGGAGGACTTGAGCTTGCTGGCTGCCAGCCTGGCTCCAGGTTCAGTGATACACACATGTCAAAATGGAAAAAAAAAAGTTTCACTTTGTGGAAGGAAGGAAGGATTTTTACCTAGTCCATAATTTGTATGACTGAAAGATTTTTCCATTGTTTTTAATAATTAAAGTTTTGGGGTTGGGATTTAGCTCAGTGGTAGAGCACTTACCTAGCAAGCGCAAGGCCCTGGGTTCGGTCCTCGGCTCTGGGAAAAAAAAAAAAAACAAAATAATAATTAAAGTTTCATGGACTAGTTCTCAGAAAGAAATGTACATATAATGTTTTTTTAAGTGATATTTTATCAATTTCAGTTTCTTTTACCCTGCTGCTGTTATCTTTTGAATCTGTTCTGCTTTGAGAAAGAAATCCTGGCTGGGTAGCTCCTAAAGC